TTTGTGCAGTACACGACTTCTAAAAAAGTATATTTTTTCTCTTGAAAAATAATCTTTCCTCTTTAAGACTTTTTTATAAGTCTTAAACTTGGATGGTATGTTTTAGCAACTCCGCCACGCCCAAGCCATGTCTCTCCTCCTACTGTTCCATACACCCCAATTACAGGAAGTCCGATCCACACACTGAAACAGTAGCACTCACAGCATTGAACGGCAGTGTGACCGTATACTGCATAAATATTCATATATAATGTAAAATATAGTATGTGTGTAATATTTTTCTTAATCCAAACTTAAAGTTAAATTACTCGTTGCTGAAATGTGTACAAAATATAGATGTTCTTAATGCGGATGTACTGTAAACCAGTGAAAGAGGCACATCACATTTGCAACAAGCTAGAATAACAAACTGTTTCTACACATGCGGCATATTAATAAGCTGTTCTCCAATTACTGGCAATTGTAAAAATAACCCTTTCTTCCCTCCTTTGTTTAACTTAAAGAATTCTGTGAAGAAATCCTTAACTATGATACCATCACATATAATAATTCATCTAGATACACACACTCACACTGGAGCAAATTGTGCCAGAAATAACCTCCCAGAGTAAATCTTTGGACTGAGCAGTACTCTACTGTGCTATACACCGTTTAAAGTTTTAAAATTAAAGTTAAACTGTTGGCTGACTACTAGCTGCTGAAATTTGGATTAAGACAAAATATAGATTTTCTCAATTTGGATGTAAACCTGAAAGAGACACATTGTGCTCACAATAAGCTATAATAGTGGACTATTTTTATGCATTTGACAATGTAAGATACAAACTGAAAGCAATGCTCTGATTGGGTTTTGAACCACCTGGCTGCAGCGCAGTACATTTCAGTCCTTTGCCCATTACCACTATAAGGACAATAAAAGTTTTTTTTTTTTATGAATGTCAAAATGTTTTCAAAACAACCACTTATGATATTTTAGCTGCTTAGTTACATTTTTCCATATTAATATTACTATCAAGTGGTATTAAATCAGTACAACTTTTTTTTTTACAATAACAGCAAGTGGTGTCTTACTACTGTATGTATTCTTAGAAAAGGATCAAACATTATACAGCAGCTTTTTATGATGTACAGTATATAAACGTTATAATGTCAGAATAAGCACGTTTAAACCATAACCCACTGTAAGTCACCATGTTAAAGACTTGATGCATAAAATATTTATGAAGAGGGTAGAATACTGTTGTGTATGTTTTCATATTTAACTATCACTACAATCTACTGTGTGTCCATTATATTACTGTATGTATTGCATTATAGTACTGTTTTTGTTTTCTGCTACCAAAAGGTCTGCTACCTTTGGATTTTCATTATGTGAATGTGTACAGCTTAAAGAAAAAGATTTTTTTTCAGCATTAACTGGGATTCGAAACCGGACGTTTTCTGGTGACAGCCCAAAAGCACCATATGCCCCGTTAAGCTTTTACAACTCCACCTAGTGGTTTTACAAAGAACTGTTGTCACATTACTGAAAATGTCTAAAATGCTGTGGTCTCCCGCAGTCTACTGCAATCTCGGGCAGCCGCTCAACCGCGAACTACTGCAGTATCCCTCGCCCGTTCTGAATGGCTGGATCTGTACAGTATATCAATTCAAAAGCTGTCAATCGAAAGGCAATAAATTTCCATTATTTGTAACCAACATCAAAATTGTACTTTACACATCACTCATAAAGCAGACATAAAGGTAAATACACTGAGAAAAAAGTTAATATATCCATCTGCATTTTGAAAGACGTACTGAGTGATCTGACAGGAATTAAATTGTCAATTTATTTGCAGAGATAAATGATATACTGTATTGTGTGATGTCAATCTAAAAAAAAATCTAATCCCTACTTCTTTCTAGATAAGTGTGTGTGGGTCATTGAATATGAACACTGCATACATTTGATTTAAATACTGCAGTCTGAATACCATATACTGTACCTAATTTCTACCATTTTTAATATTCACTTTCCTTCTATTAGAGATGATTATAATTTAAGCAGCCCTGAAATAAAAAATATATATATGTTTTAATCTTACAAATACATTAGACTTCTAAATAAATGTGCTTTTTACAAATAGAAAGAAATGCAATCACAGACTGTTTAATTCTGCTTTGGCATTTATAGGTGACCAAAAAAGTAATTACAAGTCTGGTCAAGATACCTTTAATTAAAGCAAGACCAAATGCAAACCAAACAGAAATCTAATTACATATACAAAGGCCTCTTGTTAGCAAGAAAATATTTAAAAACATTTTTTCCTGGAAACATGGGTCTTATTCAGTGGTTGCAATAAGCCAGTTTTATTTTATTTTGACAATAAAACACTTCTGAAAGAATGTTTCAAACTTATTTGTCTGTTATCATCATTTGCTTGTTATCTTAAATACATACTGGGTATAACTTGATAAAAACAGTTACTCAAGCATTTCTAGATTTTCTATTTATTATTAAAGATTTAATATTATAATTTTTATTATTAACTTGTTAATTTGAAGATTAAGAAAACTACTATACATATTTAAATGTGTACTAATTTCAATATACACTTAAGATCCAAGAGTTACAGTTCACAGAAACTGTATCTAGCCTTGATTCAGAACAACTTCACAAGGCACATATATTTTCCTTTCCACAATAACACACATTGAAGTCTCTGTTACGAGTTCGGTAACAGGGACCGAACGAGTGAGTGAACCCACTTGCAGGAGCGAACAAAGCCAAGTCGTAATCCGAAAGCAAACCGTAATCGTAGGAACGAGCCGAGAGTCCAGGGGAAGCCAGATATCCGAAAGGGTACGTGTACCGAAGCCGAAGAGTAATCCGAAGCCGTAGTCCGTAGAGCAATCCGAGAATCCAGAGGTAGCCAGAAATCCAAAACAGAGCGAAAGCACCAATCCAATCCGAGATCCGAAAAGCCGAAGTCCAAAGGGAAAAACCGAAAGCCGAAATCCAAGACAAACACAGAGTAGAAGAAGCGCAACCAGGAAGCTCGATAGGGAAAACCAATACTGAGCAACAAGTTAGGGAAGGACAGGTGTTTAAGTAGGATGAGACGGGGGTGTGGTGGTGAATGGGAAAACTAATAGGTGAACTGATAGATAGGGGCTACACCTACTTCTGCCTCCTCCGTTGCCGGGAGCCAGGGTTCGTAACAGTCTCTTCTTTTTTGTGTTCTGGTTAGGTGAATACACACTAACTGTATGACTAATGTGCAGTACAAGGCCCTTGCACTCCTAAAACTTCAACTAATCTTCAACTAAATAATTATTACAACACTGATATTCCATGTAAAGGATTACAAAAAAACAGACTTTTGGATCACGGTTCAAATAACTATACATAAAGCTACCAACTATTGAAGGCTCTACAGGCAAAATGTTGATTTTTTTCACTTTCTAGTGTGGAGTTAAGCTCTACTTATCCCATTTGCACCTTAAACACGTTTGCATTAAAAATTCTGATATATACAGTACTCATTATCAATTATCAAGAAGCATAACAATACTGGCATTTATTTTGGAGAGGGAATGTAACCACTCAAAACAAAAGCTTTGTTTTAATGTTACTAAATATTCATATTAATTTTCATAATGTAATAAACCAGAGAATATCTTAAGATGTGCTTCTGACAGTACTACAATCTTTGATCAGAGAGAAGGCATGGGATTTATTAACTGTAATTCATCTGTCAGGGACAGCTACACAAGCTGCACATTATGATATTTCTTTGGTACTGTACATAACTCTACTTTGCCAACAGATACAAGGAATGTAAAGTGTATACCTTTTTTCTCAGGTAGCTTTAGCTTTTAAGTTTTTATTCTGGTGTACAAAAAGAGAAAGAAAGAAAAGTGCTTTGTTTTACAAGAGTAACACCTGAGGCAAGTGTGAGCTACTCAAGACTTCAATGAAACTCTCACTCCTCAATTTCACAGCTGAGGCGAGAGAGACACAGCAAGTTAACATCACAACTGACATGCAACAAATAACACTTTACAGTCTGCTCATTTTCTTGGAAATTCACAGCTACCTTACTGTACCAGTGCTATAGGAGAACAACCTTGTTCTTTTTCATCAATAAGGTGGAATAACAGGATTTTGAGTTTGTTTTTTAAAAAAAACAAACTGTGAAATAAGTATGCACTTAATTCTCCATTGTTTCCTTCTGAATTAATATAATACTGCTGTAATTTAAGCATTGTTAATTAATAGTAGATTTCTTCATGAAACTTTAATTATACTAAACTTTTGTATAATGTAACACGCTACAACTGTAAATGCAAAAATAAACATTCTTTAATAGTATTCCAATATGTTATATGTTAAGTGTTTGAAAAAAGCCAATTAAGTCAGAGTCCATTCTTCTTCCTTTAAAATACAGTACAGAAATAACATGTAAAAATGGTAAAATAAAAGAGTATATAAAACAACTTTAATACACTGCAATGCACTGAAGAACATTAAAAACCCATGAAAGAGTTACTCAATAATGTTAAATATTCAAAAGCTGAGATTATATTGATGGCTTAGATTGCGTCCAAAGAAGTTTGGATAGTGCTCTTCACCGTTGCTGAAGAAAGATTAGGAAATCCACAATTCAAGTCACACAATGTGAATCTGCTACAAAATGGTCAATGTTCTCTATTGTTTTAGTTACCATTAACAAACCTAGGAACAAAATCAAGATGTCCATTGTCTTATTTGATATTCCATTCAAAAAACAGGGAGATACAACCAGTACTGCTTACAGTATATCAAATCATTCTGTATTATTGATTTCACTTTGATAAACAGTTCTGGAAGATTTTACCTACAGTTCTTCATACACTGTGTAAAGGAAGTAGCTATTTATAGGGGTTGTGGGGGTGGATAATGTAACCTAGCTATTATTTTTCTCAAAGTCTATTTTCAGTAAAATGAAGCTCCTACAGTTGGTTGGTATACAGCTTACCTCCTCCAGCTTCTTTCTCTTCCTCATCAATGCTGCTTTTAATGCTTTCATACTCTTCGTCTATGTTTTGATTGCCCCGGATCTGGCTGAGAACCCGACGGGCCTTCTGAGTCTTTCCTTTCTGGATAAGCCAGCGTGGACTTTCAGGAAGAAACAGAAACCCGAGGAACTGCAGCACTGCTGGGACAACTGAAAGACCCAGCATGTATCTGCAAAAGAAAGAAGAAATGATCTTTCAGTATCTCAAGGGGTAGAGATGTGCAGACACAAAACTTTAAAAGAAAACAAAGAACTGACATTACTAGACTGCAAAACCATTGAAAAAAAACAGCACGTTTTGGAAAAAAATACTTTTTTTAGTAGGTTTAGAATATAGTCAGAGCAGTGGAAAAAAAGAATAAGACAATAATTGTACAGAAACCTTTTTGGAAAAGAGTGCTAATTAAATTATTGGTATATCAGGACATCACTCTAATGTTAAAAATTTACAGTAGATTGTACAGTATATAAATTGTCCTTCCCAAACATGTTTAACTGGTAACACAGTAAGAATGGTAAATAGTTCTGTCTTAACCACAGATCATATTCTGGAAAAAAGTAATGCTATCAATAATTCAATTTTCTAATGATTTGCTAATTACAGAGGTATACAGAATTCATCTGATCACAGGTATTTGTACTGCTATCACTATTTACTTAAACCTAATATTATTTAATGTCTAGTCTTATGATTAAAAAACATTTAATTTAGCTGAACAACAGACCCTAATTATTAGAGTAAGCAGGCATCTGTAGTTACATTAAAGTGACAAGAGCCGTAATTACATTTTTACTGACTAAAGCAGTAATTAATGGAATAACCACCATAGACTACACAGTACAGACAGAACTGTCAATATTTTTTAGAAGGGGGATTTTTTCTACTAGTCAGTTCTTACTTGTGGTCATGTCAGGAAAAATTACTTCTCTTCCTGACAGAGTGTTACCTTCACCTCATTACCTCCTACTGACAAATGATGTCATCTGGGCAGACATAAGGTTGAGTGTAAAAAAAATAAAATAACACACTCTCAAGATTTTTCCAATGTGTAGAAATGATAGGGACATTGTTTCCAAGAAAAATAAAGCACAACACTAATTTACAGCAACCCAAATCTGAAGAAGCTATATATGAAAAAACCTTAGGTGTTAACACATCATCGACATCAATTTGACAATGTGGGGAAGCAATAAAAGGTGAATGTGAGGAAGCAATAAACAGAGGGAAGGCAAACAATATTTCATTATATGCAGTGCCTTGCAAAAGTATTCAGACCCTAGAACAGTTTACACATTTTGCTGCTCCATACATTCAAAGCAAAAAAGAAAAGGAAAGAAATTATTAATGTCAATGAAATTTTACAATCCATGATTCAATAAGTATTTTAAAATTTAGGTAAGCAAACTTAAGGTGAACAAAATTACTTTAATGAGTCACACAATTATCTGCCTTTGTCTCTGTATAATAATAGTGGTTCTCATGGTTGTAGAATAAACACATCTGTTTCTAAGGTTGTCTTAGAGAAGGGTATAAAAATATTTCAAAGACCCTTAAATATCTCTTTGAAGGTAAGAAGTAATTTATTAAGAACAGTTACTTTGAGTTACAGAGTTATAGCATTCAGTGGCCAAAATGGGTAAAATTGTCCAAAGGCCAACAATATTCTGGTCAATCCACAAAGGAGTGAAAATAACTTTTCAAATCTTGCCAGGGAATTGTAAAAATAACCAAAGTGATACTGCAAACATGTATTGGCAAAAGGTTTTGAAGTCAAACAAGACCAAATTAGAACCTTTTGTTTTAAATGCAAAGCTTTATATCTGACTCAAGCATTGTGTATCAGATAACACCATCAAGCATGGTGGTTGCAGCATTCTGTTCCTTATGTTTCTCATGAGCATGTTTTGAAGCTCCAGTCGCTTAAGGTTTCATGATGTTTAAAATAAAATATTGAGTTGTAAAGTAATGTGTATGTACTGTAGAACTTTATAATTTCACAAAATTGGACACCAGAGGAAGGGTCTGAATACTTGCAAGACACTATGGCTACAAGTTTAAATAAAGGAATGCTATGTTAAGCTTTCGAAATACACTACAAAGACCTAATTTACAAAGTTGCTCTGGAATCAATCCAAAAAAGAGATACAGGATGCCTTTCTGGACTCAAAGGGATGTTTTTTACCCTATACTGTCACGGTATAGGGTACCTGAACCTTTTTAGTCTTGAATAGAGAAGACTAAGAAGTGACCAGATTTAAGTGTTTTTAAAATTTTAAAATTAAGATCAGGAAGCACCTTTTTACAAAAAAGGTTTGTAAGCAGTAGGGAACATACTGGTGAAGACTAAGCATTGGCTTCTTTCAACTCAAGATCAATGTAAGGCCATAATGGGACTTTTGTAATGTCCTACATTATTTAAATATTTTTTTTAAAACAGTCTAATGATTTGTCCTTTTAACTTACAATGATTATATTTTTGTGAGAAAAATCCCAAAAAAATGTTTGATATTTTCTTCAGTAAATCGAACATACCCATCAGATAAGTTTATATCTCAGGATTTTTCCAACCAGTTTAATTCAAACTGTAGTTTTACTAATGTCCTACAGGCTATTTTACTTACTGCTGGGGCAAAAACAGTAAAAGAAGTAGACTGCTCTGACCTTTAACTGGGGGCACTGTGATATTGCTGTGTCCCTGACTAGATTAATAAGATATACAGCAGCAAGAGTTAAATTGTGCAATACAAGATAGAATGAAAACAGTACTCTGTAGCTATTTCATGGTATATACGGTTTGAATGAAAAATAATCAGAAAACTATATTTGGAAAATCCTTTTTCAGTTTATATGTTAATAACATATGTTTGAAAAGGGAAGCATTCCCTTATATGATACCTTATAGATTGAATACAGAATTAGACTTGAAATTTGATCAATTGAAGCTGATAAAATATTTTAATACGTTGTTTGAATAAATAGATCTACCTTTGATATATTAGATAATTATTTTATAATTATTTGAATAAATAATTCAGTACTAATTGCTATTTACACTGTTGTATACAGTATATGTTGGTTCATGTCTATTTACCTTTAAATTCATTATATGGCAATAGTACTATGGATTTTTTTTTCGTGAATGGTTGCTTCTTCTCACATGGAATCATGCAGCTAAGGAATGTTTGGTTATATTACCAAGTGTCTATTTCCAGAAGGCTTTTGTATGCCGAATCATATTGAAATCAAAGGTTTCCACATACTGTAGGTATGACTCACATGTAAAGTAAGCAAAAACCATCCCTTATGTCAGGGGATGCTTGATGTCAATCATACAAATGGGTCTTGTTGCCTACAATTACAGTACTGTATGTCTAGCATGGCTGCAAGAGGAGTTATGGCATGTTTATCAAGACCTTCAGTGATCAAGACTGCTCAACTTACGGTTATTTCATGAGCAACAGTGTCTACGGTAGTGTTAGTAGGGAACTCCAAGGAAAAGCCATCATCGCCAAAACTTGTACCTCAAGTCAAAGACCAGTGCCACACCCTTATTTCAGCATTCATTCTATCAGTTACTGGTCTAGAGCACTAACCACTAGTCCACATTGCTGTTAGTGACACACTTTGTTTTAAGAGTACACTTTCCAACTCTCAATAACATTAAAATACCAGAAATACAGTAAGTTGACAGGCACTAAACTAGGGTATCACAGGCTTTGCTGTCTCGTTTCTATTTCATATGAACAAATGGAAATATCCCAAAAGTACCCTGGACAAACACGCTTATCCTGTTAAAATAAGTTTTGCAAAAAATGCTACAGAAATAAGTAACCTGCTTCTCTCTGTTACTAGTATCTTGCTATCATGTTTCCTCTTAGGACTTACTGCAGAAACGTTCCACAAACTTCAAATAACAGGAAAAATTTAGTTTCACTACATGCAAAAAGCAAATTATATAAATGTTACCAGGGCTTACTGTGTGTGCAGCTTGAACTGTCCATCACACCAGAACTACTTGTTCTAAATAAAGGTGACTATTACACCCAGGAGTGCATGCCCACATGCTGACATCCTGATTTTTGTGTGTAAAACAGTTGACAGTGGACAATAAATTAATATGAAGTGGTGTGTGTGCGTGCGTGCGTGCGTGCGTGCGTGCGTGCGTGCGTGTGTGCGTGTGTGTGTGAACATCTTGTTCATTTCATTATTTTGGCAGGATAACAAAACAATAACTTTAAATATATGCTCTTTTTAAAACATTTATAAGTAAAATTAATAAGGAAAAAATAACCATTTGGTAGAATGTTCTGCAGTATTCCCCAATATTAAGACCTTACCAACCAAAAAATACAGCTTAATGGTCAAGCTGTACATCATGACATTTTTAACAACATGGGCATGATATTCGGTCCAAGAGTAAGTCAAAGCCATTGTTTGAGTGCAGTAGAGTGTTCTACAAATGTGCCTTTACAATAGAGATTTTACCTTAAAAGCAGCATTCAATATCCTATTAAAAATGATTATCAACTATGCAGTTATCAGTAATAAAAGATCAATGGGGATACAGACTGTGGTAGTTATCAATGATCTATTACTATGTCTATGATATTGACATTATTATAACAAATTTTAATTACACACTATTCTAATATATCATTGTCATCTCTTACTCATGGCTTTACGACCAGCACCTCAAACTATAAGATATGTTAAATTTTTGTCCTTGTTTTACTTTTTTTTAAAGATACTACTAAACTGTATTATTACAACATTAACTGTATTCAGGCGACTCAAAGAATTCTAGCAATGGACATTTTTCTGTAGCATGAGTCACTGTCGTCAGAAATAATATTCCTCTACAAAAGCAGGCTCTAATAAGGTTTTGAAAAAAGCCTCCCTCTCACAGCATGCAATACTGCATAAAATCAAAGCATACTACTGACTTCACATCAAGAGCTGTGGTCTACAGAGCAAGTCACTCCATACCTTGAATTACTGTCTTAATACCTATTGTGGATTTTTTTCTAGTTGAACTAATCTGGCATATTAAGGGTGTTGACAGATGAAGCTGATTAAATCCTTGCAATTCTGCATCAATTAACAAATTGCCTGTTCTTTCTTTTTTCACAAGCAAAGTGCCAATCATTCTTTAATGCAGAAACTTTGATGCGTATTTATCACTCATAGTAGGAGCTCATAGCTAAAGGGCAAGCCTATCCATGAAATGCCACATAAATGTTACTGAAATCCCCATGTACTACAGCTCATATGGATCATCCTATTAAGATTATATTGTTTGCTTAGCTTTATTACCATATATTGTTTAGGCTAAATATCATGTTCCATTAAAATAAATGTGTACAATTTAACTATAATCTCTGAATATATTCCTTGATTGTATTAAAGCTGTTTTATAATACACAGCATTTGAAATAATTATGGAAGAATAGGAAAAGTGGAATGTGCTATACTGTACGTAATGCACACATATTGTGTACATTGTAGTGCTCTCGGGTTCACGTGGGAATGCGCCCTCGCTGCTGCCACCTCAGATCGGCCCCCCACCATTGGGGACTCGAACCCTGGCCTCCGGCGTCACTCAACAGGGACCCAGGCAGTTAAGCTAAAGGGAAATCTCCTGTCAGCCTGGCGGCTGAGGTCCCTGCTATTCACAGGGAAGGGCAGTGACGTCACCATGCTGGTAAGCCGGCTCGCACAACCTGTAATGTCGACCGTATGCGTTACAATATGTTGAGTGCATACACCTAGCTCATTTAATTATCTTGGCTGGGCAACAAAACAATAACTTTGGATATATGTTCTTTCTGATTTGTTTTTTTTTTAAATTTTGTAAGCAAAAAGAAACAGGCACAAAATAACCCTTTTGTAGAATGTTCTGCAGCATTCCTCACTTACATTATTAAGGCCTTACCAACCAAAAAGACATCTTAATGGTCAAGCTGTACATCATGAGTCTTCAAACATTTTTAACATTGTGGGCATGATATCGGATCCAAAGCTAAGTCAAAGCTATTGTTTGAGTGCAGTAGAGTGTTTAACAAATGTTCCATTACAACTGATATTTTTCTGTAAAAGCAGCATTCAGTGTTCTCTAAAACACATGGTCTAAATAAGAATAAAACCATCAAATAAACTATGTAGTTATCAGTAATACAAGATCAATATCCAATCATCTTGGTTGATATCAGACCATAGGTTTTGTTGAAAATGTAGTGGTTTGTTTCAGGATTAACTTTCCCAGCAATCCAGTCTTTGACCACAGCCAGTATCAAAAGTGAAAAAAGAAAAATCCTAACAATCACTCCTTGAAAGTTTAAAAAAAAAGGGATATACATTTAATAAAAATATAAATGTAGCTATTAGAAACAATACAGAACTCAGAAACGGAATTGTGAAAAATATAGAAGGAAATTAAAGTTAATAAAAATGCTATTTTTAAACATGGAAATAATATTTTATTCCCACACAATTTGGTATCAACAATTGCTCTTGGTAACAACTCCTGTACGATGCATAGGAAAAACGAGAACTTGCAGCCGTGCTCCTCCAACACACCCACCTTTTAGTCATTCATCTTTTGGCATCCTGCAAGTGTGCCAATACTGTAGATACATTCTTGTGACATCACCCTCTGATCTTGCAGCTGATTAAGTCATCAGACCAGTACTTTCATTTTAAATCTAAGGTATTTCAATGAAAGTTATTTTCTTTAATGAAAGGGGTATATGCAAGAGAAACCAGATTTATTTGCTGAAGCTGTCTATCTAAATAAAAATGTTCACAAAATTGTGGTGGCAAAGATTACATTTTAGCCATGGAAGAGGAATTACATGAAAGTGGAAGTACAAGTTAAAAATGCAGCACAAAGAAAATACTTATGTGCAAGGCTGCACATGCTGGAAATGTTAAACCATTTACAGATGATCACTGTCTTTGCTAATGAGCTGTTTTCATCAGCTTTTGGCTAAGAGTAGCTGGACTGTAAATTTATTTGAAACATGGTTAAATGGAAGAAATATAAAGATAGCCTTTAAACCTGTAGGACGAATGATCCTGTAATAAACCAAACAGAAAATGACTGCTGTGAAACACTACCCTGATGGCTTTGTAGGTTGTGAATGTTGAAAATAAATGTAAAAGTTAGAAGGGGTGACATGTAAATGAAATTTACTTTGCCATTGGATTGGAAAATATTGAAAAATACAGAAAATGTATGGCTTGATGCATTCAAATTGTTTCTTTTGTTTCGCATTTTTCAATTTTTTAATAAGATACACAAATATATATGTATATTCTACTTTGTAATATTAATGATGTTGAAAATAACAAAGGTACAAATTGATTTTTTAATAATAGTTCTATGAGTTCACAATGAACAATTGAATTTACACATGAGATATCTATAGTTTAGTTTGTTGATGAGCGGTTGATGATGAACTGTTTTGGTTTGGAATTGTTAGTTAAATTTGGAATACTGTACTGTATGTGCCTGAATGTGGATTAAGTTGGTAAAAGTGTGGATTATGTAATGAATATATCTGCCCCGCACTCCCCTTGTTTTCAAAGCCAACCAGCCTCTTCAGTTAACAGTGGATTAGGCAATATAATCAACACAAAGATTAAAGGGTGACATCACAAGGAGAACTGGTGCCAACTATGGGAGTGGTGGACCTATTACTGACATCACTGCAAGTCTGCAGGCACCCAGCAAGTCAAAGGATTTGTCTTGCCAAAGGATGCGCAACTAGTGCCTTCTGTACCTTGACGTCACTCTTATAATTATGTGCTTCTGCACAGAGGATCCCAAACTCAGCATAACCCGGGCTTGAACCACTGAGTTCACCTGGTCTCTGAACTCTCCTGTTACTCTGAGTGAGCGGTTTTAAAATATGTGCCACTCAGGAGCTCTGATAAATGCTCTTTTAAGTGATACTTACATACACCCTTTGTTAAACAGTGCATTGTTATGTGCTTCCACCTGATTCATACCTCCATCCATCCTTTGGAAGGTAGCTGAAAGCCCCATCAATGACACTTGCAATGAACTGTCCACCAGTGATGAAGAGGGTGTTGATGGTCACTAATTGTCCTCTCAGCTGAGGAGGGGCAGCCTCTGCAATATACACTGGTACTGTCATGGAAGCAATACCTGTGGGGAAAAAAAAAACAAACAAGAAAATACTTTCATGAGAACAAATGTTTAATTCTATGTAGATTTTAATGCAAACTTTTGCGTCCTGATGAGATCCTTGAATCTATTAACTACTAAGAAATGCTCTACATGGATTGAATAGTCTGCTCTTATTTGTAATCTTTTATATGTTCTTATAACTAACATGATAATTTGTTTTAAATATTAATATTTTATTCCATTTACCTCTTTCTATTATGCTTTTTTCAAATTTATAAGCATATTTCTTGAGAAATATAAAATAATTAAATGATACAAATACTGTTTACATAAACTAATTCTTAATGTGTTTAAAATGAGAGAAAAATTACTGGGAAAGCTGTTCAGTTTTAGAGTGATGTATTTTTTCCACAGGCAAGTTGCCAGTTTACAGGCAAAATATTCACAATAAAATCATAATAAAATATTTTCATTTGCTAGACCCAGATTTCAGTCTCAGTTTTTATAGTTACTGTTGCACTACAGGAGTGCATGTTAACTAAAATATTCATAAAATATTATCAAGTATTTTGTACTTATGTGTTTTTATGGTGGATAATAATCTAGCAAAGCAAGTTCAATATACAAGTGAACTGATACTGACACTGGCTTGCAAGATCACCTGTTCACTTTTGAAACCTGCTAGGGACTCATAACTATCATCCATAAAACTAATGGACTGATGTACAAATATTAAAGCACTTGAAGGATACAATGTTAACATCTATCGGTAACGTTTATGTAGCCCGAAGCAGATAATAAATATGATTTATATCTTGTACAACACAAAATGAAAGTCATTATTCAGGAAGGATTTCATTTCTTGTGTATTTACCCTTCCTGATGAAAGCTCCTGTGGTTGTGTTGGGATTACACCGTCAGCATAATAGACAACATGCTGTCTGATGCATACAACTGCGTCAGTCAGCATATAAAAGAATCTAGCCAGTAACAAGAATCATAAACCCAAAAAGTTCTGAATTTATTTTTTTACCAATCTCCTGATTGTTTTGATATTGAAATAGTATTGACATCAATTAGCACATTATTAAAACATTTTACTATAACCTCATACAGAACTGTTATCAGCATTCAGTGCCATGGTAAAGTAGAGCTACAATCTTGGAACTGAGCTATGATCCCAAATATGATACTCGGCTACTCAACAATTGAGAATGCTCAATTTTTTACACTCTAATCCTAACACACCGTTGTTCCACATAAACCACCAGTGTATTAATGACAGATCTTAGGTTAAGTCCTGCCACAACCATTTATTAAGAACAGAGAAAAGAACTGTAAGCCAGAAGAGACTTAGCACTCTATATATGTATATTTTCCTAAAACCAGTGTTTTTTATTTTGGATATTGACTGGATGTTTTGTGGTGTCATTTTGATTAATTGCTCCTAAATGACTGATACACTTGAGTGATTTTGTTGCGTAATCAGTAAATCACCTCATTAATGATAGAATTGAAAGGGCACAGATAATGAAGTGATTTGATCTGCTTAATGTCAAGCCTGGTGAAAACCAACGAAGACAAATACAGAAAGGAAAATATATGCCCTGCTCGTCAGAGAGAACATCACTTTTGTACAATCACTGTGTTGATGACTGGACTAAGTACGTGCATTAGAACACATTGTTCACTCATTGTTCACAACCAGCAGGTTTCTCTTACGGTTTCCACATTATTAAAAACAGCTAAAGAAGTTAAACAGACTCTATGTGGCACAGCTAAAGCCCTTAAAGTGCAAGAACCAAAACTATAGTCTGAACATACATTTGAATACAAAGTTTTAATAACAAACCCATGGGAAATAACACTATAACATAGTCTATAACACAGTCTAAGGT